CGCGGACCGAAGGGTCCCAGGTTCAATCCCGGTCAAGGGCACATGGGCGGGTTGCGGGCTGGATACCAGGGCAGGTGTGATTCTCTCTCATTGCGGTGTTTCTAGCTCTCTCTCCTTCCTTTCGTCTCCAAAATCAATAAAAATACATCTTTAATAAAAATAATAAAGACACACGCAGCCCCTCCCCACCCAGCCCTCCACACGCGGGGCATCTGGTTCCACTGAGGGGAAGGGGGCCCACTGTAGAGGGGGTGCTGAAGGCATCGGGGGGGATCATCATCGGGAGCTGAGGAGGGAGTGGCCCGGCCAGGAGGGAACTAGATCAGAGGCGGGGCTCAGGCAGCAATAAAAGGTGCCAGGGCATTGGCAGTCAGACCCGGGATGTTGCCACCAACCAGAGCAAAGGTGCCAGGGCATTGGCAGCGGGACCCGGGATGCCGCCACACGCGACAGCCGCTGCCATGGGAACCGTGGTCCTGGCCCTCGTCCTCCTGGGCACTGCAGCCGCCACGCAGGACAACTGTCCAGGTGAGCCAGGCGCCCGGCGGGCCGGCCTGACAAATGTCCCAGGGCCGAGAGCCTCCGCAAGACCACTGCCAGCCCCCTGCCGGGTCCTTCCAGAACATTCTTCTTCAGACTGAGGCTGAACCACCCTCTGCAGGGGCACCAGTCTCGGGGTCTCCCAGGAGGGGCTCAGGTTGTGTGAGGGGAGAGGCTGGAGAGCGCCCCCTCCCCCAGCCAGGGTCAGTGCAAGGTCGCACCCAGCTCTGGGGGCCTTGAGCCTCGGGGGACAGGCGGCCCCACTGCTCCCCGAGGTGGCACAGCAAGAGGGCAAGGGTCCCCGGGTCCCCACGAGCCCGACCTCCTTCCCTGGCCCAGGGGCTCTCCAGGGGGTGCCACCCCTCCCTCCGGAGTCTCTGGCTGTGGGAGGGGCTGTGGGGCCCACCCCTCCCTGGGGAGTCTCTTGCTGTGGGAGTGGCTGGGACCCAGGACCAGGTGCCACCTCCCAGGGCCCCGGGGCCTGTGGTGCGGCCTGTGAGGAGGTGGAGGGAGCATGTCCCCTGTGACGGGAGAGAGGCCGCTGAGTCCGGAGGAAGGACACACGGGCCTCACGGGTAAGGTCACGCTGAGTCCATGTTCTCCCCTCGTGGCGTCCTGCGGCCGCGGCCACATGCGGCCCTCCGAAAACATTTATCCGGCCCGCGGTGTTTTTGCTGGCAGTGCCTATTGATTAGCACCGACTAGTTTTTTTTAAACTATATCCGGCCTCCAGCGATCTGAGGGACAGTGAACTGGCCGCCTGCTCAAAAAGTTTGAGGTGCCCTGACCAGTTTGGCTCAGTGGATAGAGCGTCGGCCTGCAGACTCAAGGGTCCCAAGTTCGATTCCGGTCAAGGGCATGTATTGTGGTTGCAGGCACACCCCAGTGAGGAGTGTGCAGGAGGCAGCTGGTCGATGTTTCTCTTTCATTGATGTTTCTAACTCTCTATCCCTCTCCCTTTCTGTAAAAAAATCAATAAAACATATTTAAAAAAAAAAGTTTGAGGACCCCTGATTTAAAACAAAAGGATTTTTAAAAATTTATTCATTTGCAAGAGGGCCAGGCGGTCCCACTGCTCCCCGAGGTGGCACAGCAAGAGGGCAAGGGTCCCCGGGTCCCCACGAGCCCGACCTCCTTCCCTGGCCCAGGGGCTCTCCAGGGGGTGCCACTCCTCCCTCCGGAGTCTCTGGCTGTGGGAGGGGCTGGGACCCGGGACCAGGTGCCACCTCCCAGGGCCCCGGGGCCTGTGGTGCGGCCTGTGAGGAGGTGGAGGGAGCATGTCCCCTGTGACGGGAGAGAGGCCGCTGAGTCCGGGGAAGGACACGCGGCCTGTGAGGAGGTGGAGGGAGCATGTCCCCTGTGACGGGAGAGAGGCCGCTGAGTCCGGAGGAAGGACACACGGGCCTCACGGGTAAGGTCACTCTGAGTCCATGTTCCCCCCTCGTGGCGTCCTATGGCCGCGGCCACATGGGGCCCACCGAAAACACTTATCTGGCCCGCGGGTGTTTTTGCTGGCAGTGCCTATTGATTAGCACCGACTAGTTTTTTTTAAACTATAGTCCGGCCTCCAGCGGTCTGAGGGACAGTGAACTGGCCGCCTGCTCAAAAAGTTTGAGGTTCCCTGACCAGTTTGGCTCAGTGGATAGAGCGTCAGCCTGCAGACTCAAGGGTCCCAAGTTCGATTCCGGTCAAGGGCATGTATTGTGGTTGCATGCACACCCCAGTGAGGAGTGTGCAGGAGGCAGCTGGTCGATGTTTCTCTTTCATTGATGTTTCTAACTCTCTATCCCTCTCCCTTTCTGTAAAAAATCAATAAAACATATTTAAAAAAAAAAGTTTGAGGACCCCTGATTTAAAACAAAAGGATTTTTAAAAATTTATTCATTTGCAAGAGGGCGGGGGTGGGGGGGGCGCGGAGAGAACTGAGGCTTAACCACCCTCTGCAGGGGCACCGGCCTCAAGGTCCTCCCAGGAGGGGCTCAGGTGGTGTGATGGGGGGAGGCTGGAGAGCGCCCCCTCCCCCAGCCAGGGTCAGTGCAAGGTCGCACCCAGCTCTGGGGGCCTTGAGCCTCGGGGGACAGTCGGGCCCACTGCTCCCCGAGGTGGCACCGCAAGAGGGCAAGGGTCCCCGTGTCCCCACGGCCCCTACCTACTTCCCTGGCCCAGGAGCTCTCCAGGGGGGGCCACTCCTCCCTCCGGAGTCTCTGGCTGTGGGAGGGGCTGGGACCCAGGACCAGGTGCTGCCTCCCAGGGCCCCGAGCCTGCAGTGTGGCCTGTGAGGAGGTGGAGGGAGCATGTCCCCTGTGACGGGAGAGAGGCCGCTGAGTCCGGAGGAAGGACACACGGGCCTCACGGGGACCGTCACGCTGAGTCCATGTTCTCCCCTCGTGGCGTCCTATTTTCTTTCTTTGTAAACAAAAATTTTTTTTTTAATTTATTCATTTTCAAGAGAGAGAGGGAGGGGGAGAGACCAGGCCCTG